AGCGAGGGGATCCTCCTTATGTATTTTCGGTTACCGTTTGTTTGCGTAACGACAAGGCCTTCGAAAGTGAAACAGCGCATGTTGAAACAGCAAAACAAAGACGGAGTAATTCGCAAGAAACAAGAAAACAATTGAGCGATTGCAGAGAGTTCCGGGGAGGAATGAAATTTACCACGTAAGAAAACCAGGAAAGCCTGACATGGCGCGTTTCAGAGTGCCCATCTTCAGGGGCCAGTTCTGGGCAATCGCCCCAAAATTTCATGCAAGGGCAGCAAGGGCCTGAAATTGGGGCCTAGAACCGCCTGCTGGATCCGGGCCCCAGACCTCCCGGGGAAGGAAACTTCATCTCATCCATCTCATCCTCTTGCACCAAAATCCCACACAAGACCTCGTCGGCTAGCAGGTAAGCTAACAGGCCATTGTTTTAGCGGCCGACGAGTTAAAATTCAAGGTTAAAAAGCATGTTTTGCGGGTTGTTACCCTGATAATTCAGCTTTACCCTTGTTCCTCACAACTTCTCAGTGGCCGACGGGAAAGGTGAGGCAGGTCCCCACTGTTTTCACGTCGCAGAAGGGAGATCATGGACTGTTACCCCGTTTCAGCCCATTCTCGTCTCGGTCTCGAATCTCTTGACATTTTCTGAGCTTTCAAGTTACGTATTGACTTCCAAGCTTTCCAATCCCCTTTTTTCTTGTCGTGCATGTTTTGCTTGGACGTATATAACACGATGATCCGGTTGATCCGTCTCTGTTCATGCCTCTTTCCCGTTCAATCTTCTCTTGTGTAGTCTTGTCGTTGTCAACCCTTCAGTCTTCTCTTCTTTCCAGGAAAATCGCCAGGGCGAGCTTTATTCTTCGATTCTCTCCCGTTCCGTCCCTCCTTTATATCAATTCGACTTTTATTCCACTCTTTTTCCCCAAAGGAAAGCAACTCATCAACAATCTCCGTACCTAATTTCAGTTCAACCAAAACAACCCATTCAAAATGCAGGCAAAGTTCCTCCTCGCTCTCATGGCCACTTTGGTGGTGGCCCAAGATATCCCCGCCGAAGTCGCCGTCAAGTCCGACGCCAGCGGCAAGGCTGTTCCCTTCTCACGACGAGACCTGGGAAGACGTCAGGGAGTCCCCGCCGAGGTCGCCACAAAAAGCGATGTGAATGGCAACGCCGTGCCCTTCAACAAGCGAGAGGTCTATCCCCGCGGTGCCTGGAAGCGTGAACCCATTGCCCAGATCCCAGCCGAGGTTGCCGTACGCAGCGGCGCCGACGGAATTCCCGTGCCTTTTGGACGGCGGTAAATCATACCTCTCGGGAGAGACAACATCTATATCAATGGTCGCTTGGCTCGGTGTCATTGGACATGGCTGTGGTGGATAATAGACAAAGGAGATTCGGGGTTTCGGATTTGCAATTGGTTTGGGGACTATATACTATCTTGGGCGTTATCATTTGGGTTAAACGAGGGAGACCTTTCATTTCTTACTCTCGTTTTGGAGGACTTTCTTGGCATTGTACAAAAGGGCTATTCGGACCTCATGACAGGGGCTTGAGGACAGAGGACTGGGTGGAGGCCGCAGTTGCGATTCGACGACTGAACTGGGATGAGCTTTCAGTCAAATAAAAGCCAATTTCCAAGTTTCCATGGTTTCCTGGCTGTCCCTTGAGTGTGTTTTGTGCCCTTGGACATCGCTAATATACGGGCAGTTACTCGAGTGTTGAACCAAAAAACAGTGACTATATTTTGTTGTCCCCAAGAGGGTCCGTCGTCCTTCATCTTGTCATCATAACCAATTCCATCGTACCTCTTCAAACGGCCATGCATAACAGGGGTGGGAAGGACGTTTCCCGGCATGTGGCTCGCCATGATACCCAACCATGTAGCTACTATAGGACGGGAACTCGGATCGATCCCAAGAATAGAAACGCGGTCGAACCGACTTTTTAACTGAGTGTATTGCCGTGTGTTAACATGCGTGTATACTCATCAGCAGTAGGCCCGGCGATGGTTGTCGGTTCGAGCCGGCCACTTTAGCCGTGATTAATTACAATTCAGGGGAATGTGCCGCTTTCTTCCTCTTCTTGGTGTTTAGCCCCTGTGAACATATGGATTTGCTGTATCAAAAGGATCAGGAGCCTAATCGTAATAATGGCAGGGTCCTTTGTTGTTTATCTTGCCATCCATTTCCCCCTTTTCTCGGACTCACTTGTTGTCAGTTGACGGGGCTAAGAGCCCTGGAGCGGAGACGCCGGAGAGATAGCTCTTCGGGAAGCATCTTCGGCTACCACGTAACCACAGTCACTTCAGGTCCTCAGGGGCTAGGTTGCCGTCAAATCAAGCTTTGCAAGGTCTCGAGTCCAGACCAGGACCGTTATCTATCAGTCTTGAGCGGGACCACATTGAGCCTAGTATTTATCACCCACTTTCCGTCCTGATTAATGCCCGGTTCAGCACAATTTGTCCAGAGACTCACCCAAACATCCAAAGTGGCTGTAATTGCGTCCTATCTCGATCATGATTCCCCTCTATGAGATCCAGATCCTGGGACTATACACTTTGTCCCGGATATTCGCCCGCAGCAGACCCTCGTCCCCTCACTGAACATTCCAGGAACGGCTGCGGATGATATATCTGCATTCATAGCTTCGTGCGTTGCTTGGAAACAAAATGATATAAGATTGCCCATCGCACCGGGATTGTGTCCCTGGGACGTTTCCCGGGTTTGCTGTCCGACTTCTTTGCTCCCTGGGATAATCATCATCTGATGTGGATGAGCTGCGACTATGGCGCCCCTGTTTCAGTCATTAGCTTCGGTGCTGCTGGCATTCACCTCCCTTCAGGTTGCCAGTGCTAGCCCGAATTGTCCTGTTCAAGGAGCCGAGTTTCCCAAGGTCAGGAATCTCGCCGAGCAGCCCACATGGAAAGCGGCGGCCGATGCGCTAAAGGCCACATTTGATACCGTGGCGAGTGCTGGACAGAACTATTCGTTTTCGGTTCAGGTATTCTCGACCAACCCCGGAAAGCCTATTGTGTTTGAGACCTTTCATACCGCTCAGCTGCTCCCATCCAACACCACGGGAGTTAAAAAGGTGGACGCCGATACAGTCTATCGGCTGGGCAGCGTTACCAAGATTTTCACAGTCTTGACGTTCCTGTCGGAAGTCGGAGACAAATACTTCAACCATCCGATTACTGAGTTTGTGCCAGAACTGGCGGAACTCGCAAAACGAGGGGATCCAAACGACCATGTTCGAACGGTGGACTGGGAAGACATTACGATTCTGTCGCTGATGGCGCAGATGTCGGGTCTCGAACGTGACCGTATGTTCGCCGTCCTTTCCCCGACTACAAGACTAAAAAATCGGGATGTCATTTCTAACTCGAAGCAGAATTGGTCCTCGGGGAGATTATCGGGCCTCTAGATCTGGAGCAGGCTGTCAACATTGGATTTCCGCCCCTTGCCGAGGCAGACATTCCTACTTGTGGCAACTATCCGCTTTGTAACCGCACACGCAAGTCTACCCTATGATGATTATGGCAAGAGGGAAGAAAAAGACTAACAAGTCACTGCAGAATTCTTCGAAGGACTCGCAAAAGCTTACCCGGCGTTTGCCCCTTGGAAGACACCTGCCTACTCAAACATTGCATATCAGATCCTTGCCTATGCTCTAGAGCAAATAACCGGGAAGCCGTTTAAAGAGGTGCTCGAACAAAACGTACTCAAGCCCCTTGGTCTTGACCATACCTATTACGATGAGGCCCCCGAATCGGTGGGAATCATTCCCCGGGATAGCGGGACGGGATGGCGCTACTACTTGGGAGATGAGAATCCGTAAGATTACCCCCTTTCCAATTCCCCGACTCGGATCAGCATAACATTACAGCTAACCTGGCACCAGATCTGGCAACATGTTCACATCGGCAGGCGACCTCTCCCGTCTGGGCTTGGCCATTCTCAACTCGACTTTGCTAAAGCCGGCTCTCACCCGTCGGTGGCTCAAACCAGTATCGTTCTCCTCGGATTTTGTCGCCGCGGTAGGAGCACCATGGGGGATTAGGAGGATTCGACCTAGCGAAAAGCATCCCCACCGTACCGTAACAGCCTTCACAAAAGCCGGAAGCGTAGGCGACTACTCGGCTTTCTTGTCCCTGCTCCCAGACTACAACCTAGGCATCACGCTCATGATCGCAGGAAATGCACCAGCGGGCAGCATCTTTGGCTTTGCAGATTATGTGGCCTCGACCATCATTCCAGCCTATGATGCCGCAAGTCGAGAGTCTGCAGATGCGCAGTTTGGCGGTACATATACCTATCGCGGCCCTGTCGCAAGTACCAACCGGACCATGAACTCAACCGTCCAGATCTCCACCGCCCCGGATGTCCCAGGTCTAGGTGTTGGCACATGGTACTCCAACAGCAGTGACATGATTCCCGTCTCGTTGGCTCTCCAATCCGGCCTCTCCGTTGCCACAGATCCAGCAAATAACAACAAGACCGCGCCAGTCCCATCCGTGAGACTGTACTATACCGGCCTGGAGACCAAACTTCCCAACGGCCGTGTGAGACAAGCCTTCAAGGCGGTCTTTGAGAACATAGGGGGGCCGGATAATCCGGGAAAGTGGTATAGCACCGACTGTGGCGTTTGGATCGACTATACCGGCGTGACGTATGCCGGTCAGCCGCTCGATGGGTTCATTTTTGAGTTGGAGGGTTCGACGGGGGAGGTCAAGAGCGTATACAACATGGCCTTGAACATCACCCTTGACAAGGTAAAGTGATACAACTCAAACGCACATGGCAGTGGCCATGAGATGGTTGGAAATTAGGACAGGACACATAATGCCCGCATGTATGATAGGGTAAATACGAGGAGCTTCCTACACTTCGAGATTGTTCCTACCGTTCTTGCAGGTCAATAAGGTTTGACGTACTCCCGTCCGCTTCTTCCATGTCAGCCGAACTCCGCTCAACTAAAATCACCATAAGACAGAAGTTACGGTTAAGGTTGTGTAGTGTAGTGGTCAGCACATCGGATTTTGAGATGTTGCAAGGCACCCTCAATGTTTCCGGGAACCCCGGTTCGAGTCCGGGCATAACCTCTTTCTCTCTCTCTTTTTGCTCTTTTATAGTTCATACATATGTCGGATACAAGTCCTTAAAGTCACTCTTTTGCGTTGTGTTTATATAGATAGGTGCCTTCCTTTTACAATTTGGCAAGGCGCCTTATCAGGTTTGCAGGTTGACTATTTACCATGGAATACTGTATTCTTCATGTACAGTTCATTCAACTTCTGTGAAGTGTTGACAGCTGGTGCCCTGTTAACATCATTGCCGGAAAATGTAGTGATGTATTGTTGATGCGAAACTATTAGCCGCTCCGTCTTGAATGGAAAACGCCTAATGCAACTGGTTTCACATGGTGGTGGCTGAGTCGCCTGCCTCAGTATGCCTTGCTACCCAGCGGGAACCCGATTGTGCTGAAAAGGTGTGCCAAGTGGCCGTTCAAACATCTTGGAACCCATCGATTCATCAGAGCCCCTCATTCTCATCACCTCATCCATTTCCTCGCCCGACAACATAACCCCGCTCAACTCGACTGAGAGAGCTCCAGAGCATTAACATGGCTGATCCATTGAGCATTGCGTCGGGCATCACGGCCCTTTTGGGTCTTTGCGGGCAAAATTCTCAACCTTCTTAGCACAGCGAAGGAGGCGCCAAAGGACCTGCGGATCATCGACATCGAGATAAAGGCTTTCAGTACCGTGCTGGAGGAGCTTCACGTTGATGCCTTAGCGAAAGATCAGGATTCGACAACCAGTCAGGCCGGGGTAAATACCGCTATTAAAGGGTGCAAAGAAACTCTCGACGAACTCGCCAGGGGTCTAGAGGGACTCTCTATTTCGGAATCATGTTCTTCTGCTCCCGGAAAGCGTCATAAGATCAGAGATGCTGTGATGTGGACGTGGAGAAAGGACGATATCGAGAAGCTCCGGACAGCTATCCAAAAACACAAGACCAACCTGATGATTGGATTGCTTGGAGATATTGCGTATGCCCTCCGACTACAACGTGCCCACCCATAGCTCGATAACTGACAAGCGATCAGCCGTGATATAAAGGACATCAAAAGCACAGTTACCGTCGTGCACAATTCATTGAGTGGTATGTAACGACGGAACGTTCTGTCGTTCTAGAGCCATTGCTAACACAGGGTGCCACAGACCAGGAACGGAGCAAGGTCGTCTCATGGATTCAGAAGGAAACGAACCCAACTGTCAAACACAACGCAGCCTGTGGTTTACGCAAAAAGGAGGACAATACTGGTGAATGGATTCTGCGTTATGAACGAGTGGCAGTCGTGGCTTGACACAGACACAATGCCGCCATCCCGACTTCTGTGGATTCACGGTATCCCTGGTGCCGGAAAGACCATTTTCGCCTCGTTTCTCATCGACAAATGCCGGGGGCATGTGAGAACCATGACGCCAAAAGCGGCCCAGTGTGTCTACTACTACTGTTCGTATAGGCATAATCGAGACGAGTCTGAGGCTTTCCTAAGGTGGACCGTGAGCCAGCTATGCCGAGCTTTGGGACATGTACCACCCAAGATCCTTGCGTCGTGCAGGATGGATCATCACCCCACTATTGACGCATTGATGGATGGGCTGGTTGAGCTCCTTACGTTCGTCGACGTCCTATACCTGATGGTAGATGGTGTTGACGAAAGCAAAGAACCGCGAGATCAGTTACTCGATGTCCTCGTGCGGATGGCTATTTCTCCCCAGTTCGCCAAGGTTCGACTGCTGGCAACCAGCCGACTATATGCCGATATCAAGACACGACTCGGGCCATGTTCGATGACGGTGCCCATGTCCAACGAAGAGGTTGACAAAGACATCGGGAAATTCGTTAGTCGCGAGATCAATAGAACGTGGACGGAGCCCTGGAGGGTCTCGTTACGGGAACAAGTTGTTGAGAAGTTGGTAGATGGCGCCAAGGGCATGTTTCAATGGGCATCCTGCCAAGTCAGGATTTTGAACCGGAAGTTGGATGCCTCAGCCATCGAACAAGCACTCCAAGAACTGCCGAAGGACCTCGACGAGACCTATGCACGTATTCTCGGCGAAATTCCCAAAGACTACCGAGACATCGCACGCAACGTCTTTGTTTGGCTCAATGGAGTTACTGAGTCAAATTCATCCATCCACGTTTTCGGTGCCTTGCCAACGGGCCTTCTTGTACATGCAATCAACTTTCAACATCTTTCCCCGAGTCAGCCCGGAGCATGTCCTACTTCCACCGGACTCTCCAAGATAGAGGAGATCTGCGGCTGTCTGATTACAGTGATTTCGGCGGACCAAAAACTCAAAATCTACTATGACGCTGTCACGTTTTCACACTACACAGTATTTGTGAGAGGTGAATCATAGATAAGATCTCTACGGAGCTAAGCTATGATGTACCGAAGAGGGAAGAGCGCAGGCCATTTATATGGCCTAACGGCAGTGCTGCACCTACCGCTGCCTGGTGGGGTACAAAGGCTTTCCCCTGCCTTTGTGGCCCAGGCAACACTCAGGCAACAGTATTGGAGTTTCTACTCTCAGACCGAGCGCGAGTACATGAAAAGTCAGTTTCTCTTTTCCATCTCACCCCATGGGAGTCGAACATCAGTTATTTGCGCCAAGCCCTGACCTTGTTAACAAATCTCGAAGCCACTTATTCTGCTCTGCCGTGGCGCCATTTCCATAATTACATGCGTTGGGAAAAAACAGAAGTCCCCACCAGCCTCAATTCAATGGTCCTGGCTGAAATCGGACTTACCAGTTGGTTATTACTTCTTTGTAATGAAGCTTTTTACCAACGAGTTGAACTTGGTCGGGTTCTCCCAAAACATGAAATGACTCCCCTTCTCGGCGGCCGAGAAGATGTACTTCTCCGCCCCTGGTATTTGACCGGCAATCCACTCGATCCCAGCAGGCGGCATCACGCTCACCTCGCCGCCAATGACCAAGGTCGGGATGGTGATCCGCGGAAAGACATCACGCCAGTCTCGGAATGAATGATCGACAAACAAGGCGGCCGAGTGGGCGTCGGTCATCTTGCGGTTCTGAGCCAGGACCCACTGAAAGTCGGCTTCAGAGACGGAGGGAGTGAACATGGACCGCACTAGTGATTCAAGCTGGTTGGCCATATCGGCGGCGAGGTCGTATATAGCTGTGGGGGAGAAGAGGGACCCGAGCTGCTCTGCTTGTCCGGCAGGCCAATGCGGGTCAGCGGCGATGACGGCTGCTTGGTCGACCAGGACGAGGTGGCTTGCCCGGTGGCGGGACTCTGGGTACTGGTCCCACCAGGCCCAGGTGACGGAGCAGCCCATCGAGTGGCCGACGATGGTGACCTTGCGGAGGTTGAGCTTGTTCAGGACGTCGTTGAGGTCGGCGGCGAAGCGGCTTATACGGTAGCCGAACTCGGGCTCTTCCGAGTCTCCGTGGCCTCGCATGTCATATGTTGTTACCCGGAAGCCGGCCGAGGCGAAGTACTCTGCTTGCTTCTTCCACTCGACTTGGGCTTGCCGCCATCCTGTGATGAATAGAATCTGCTGGCCATTTCGTGGGCCGGTCTGGTTGTAGACAAGATTGACGCCGTCACCGGTCTTGATAGTCCCGGCGGTGCCATGTTGATGAGCTGGGGTCGCCGAAACACCCATCATTTGGACAGCAAGGGTAAGGATATGTAGAATTCTCATCTTGGCAGCCTACAACTCGGGGATTAGGCAGGTAAGAAATAGAAGTTGAGAATGATTTTTGACTCAGCACTGTCGGTCATCTCGGATTCAAGTCTAATAAATAGACGGCCATGTTCAAAATCCAGTGGCTGGTTACAGGGCAATCCCCCCGCATTATCGCCAACTTGACTCAGCGTGTTGCATCGACCAGACAGGTTATCACCTGCATGAGCATCGAATATCTATAGTGTCCTGCAAACAACAGCATGGTACTTGCACCCCTGTTAACAAAAACTTGAGGAGGTGTGATGGAAAGGTTATTTGCTGCCCATACTGATTTGTAAGATCATAAGATGATATCCGGCACTGCCGTCCTTTCGGCGAGAAAGCCAGGTGCGGAAGTCTGGGCTGACCACCGACGGGTGTGGGTCTCGGTCGACTCGGGAGCGGATTGAGAGTGACCGCTCGGAAGCCGCCATGGCCGGCTGATGGTGAAAACTTCAAAGTGATGCACATGACTGATGATCTTTTACGTATTGGCGAAGCTGACAACCGACGTGAATCTTCAAGTCCGATCCATCATCCACCTTCCGAGCCGGGACAGATGAGGGACCTCGAGGGCAGACTCAATATGAATTCCAATGAGGCTCTAGTATCCGTATAAAAGCCTCAAAGCCGGTAATACTCTTCATCAGACATCAGGTGAACGAGAACCCTCATGAATCCACCAACCCCAATGCTTAATTGGGCGTCATGCAGGTTGATAACAGGGGTGGTGACGGCATCCCGTCCCCGGAACGGTCCCCGGAAACCAAAAAGATGCCAAGGCCGACTATGTGTTGGCGCACGGCGTGGTCGAGGTCATTCATGATTGGACGACTAGCTTCGAATTTGCGGCCCAATCCATCCACCAGCCACCGGAGTTTGCTGCATGATGCCTCTTGTCTCAAGACTGGTATTATAGGTATCCGTAATATGCACATCATATTTCTTTGGTCTCCGGCACTCGAGAAGCTTGGCGTTGAAGCCGTCGTTCAGCTGACTGCAGAGTGGCACAGCTCACGACCGACCAGGGGAAAGACTTCCGGATGGCGGTCCCTCTTCCGCGGTTGGATGTGATGAGGATCGGCACTCATACCCCTATCTCAAGACTTGCCGGCATTGAGAAAGGATTGACATATAACCGCTGAAAGACAAGGACGGTGAGTCGCCTGAGCCCGAGACAGTTGCAATAATGAATAAGTTAGTTCAAAGTCGAACACAGAGTAAACAAGTGTAGGAGATGTCTCGCCAAGCCCGGAAGCTGGAAATGTCAGGGGCTTCGAGCCCTTGGAAATCTCGTGAAATTGGACGTGGACAAGAAGATTGTGAGCGACT